GAGCAGAGCATGCTCTTCCACAGGAGAGTTATAGACCTGCTTATTCTGAAACAGATGTGCTCCTGCGGCACAGCGCCTTCTCTCTCCACCCCCAAATCCCTGTCACTGCAGCTTAGTCTTTGGCCTTGCTGTAATTAATGTATCTGTGATTCCAACTGAGCATGAAGGCCTGAAGAACACAGCCGCCCCTCCCCTCACACACACACACACACACACACACACACACACACACACACGTTTACCCTGTGTGCATAACTCACAGGTGCCCAAGGTCAGACCTCCAAGTCAAGGGTGAAATCTGAATCCCTGCTCAAGACACCTGAGTTGTCCCCACTGTCCTTTAGCAGGCCCTGCTGTGTGAGCCGACCTTGGGAGCGCCTAAGAACTCCCAAGTTTTTTGAAGGGGAAAAAGATAAAAAAATTGTCATCAGCCATCTAGAACTAAGCCACATCCCTACCCCTTCTGTTCTCTGATGTACAGCCCTGATAGTCTAGTCCACGCCAGCCCTAACAGCCATCTCTGCCACCCCACCAAAATCTGATAGGACACAGTGGAACCAGCTTAGGAGTTGGGTCTACCATGAAAATTCAAAATTGCTATTTTCAGCCCCGAATGCCATAGAGTGTATGAAGGCCCTTACTGTTTTCAGGCCTAACAAATTACTTGGTGCAGTGTTAGGTAATTGTTCTCCTGCTTAGAAACCACCGAAAGAAAAGCGAGCCTGTGGAGTCCCTCCTCCTTCTCTCATCTCAGTAAATATCATACAAGCAAAGCACAATGGAAAATGGCCCATTAATCTCCCGGAGCTGGCAGTGGAGTCCGGGGAACTGGTGTAGCACAAGAATTCCCTCCTGCTCATGCCAGAAACTCGTGTGACACCATCCAGCCTGGGGGAAGTGTTGGCACCCAACCCCACCATCAAGAAGCCAGTTCTCAAAATAGACCTGTGTTTGCACTGCAGCAGGAAGGCCAGATAGCTCCAGAGGCGGTCAATCGCGATGGCGGTGAAGTTCTTCCCAGGGCTGCCTCTTCCCAAAGTTGAAAACAGCTTCATGTGGAAAACCATGTAAACTCTGCTTCCCCTGAACTTTCTGTGCTGAATAAGGACCATCTTTTGGGAGTCTTCACATTTGATGAGCTGAGAGGTAACCACTTCTCACTTCTTCTATAATCGGCCTCTACCAAAACAGAGAATGTGACTGGAGTGCCTTGGCATGTGCAGGTCCTAGTCCAGTCCTGAGATAGCCAGTGTTGTGATGCCCCTCGGCTGCCCCTAAACAGGTTTCTCTGTCACGCTGTCACTGTGGCTAAGTTGCAGTGCACCTTCTGGTGAGGTCTGGCCTCTGTCTCTGCTTGTCATGGGTACACACTGAATGTGAGCACCCATGGGTTTCTTTCTGCACCTCCTTAAGGAGACTCGGCTTCCAGCCCAGCCAGCTTATTCTCTATCTGTGGACCAGAACCACCAGACACAAGCAACCTATCGGAGCAGGATCACAGCGATGCCATACACCCCGAGCACCAACTACAAGGACCGCTGCCATCAAGGAAGCAGAGACTCACCCTGCTGCTCATTCCAGGGAGAGCCCCGCCACTCTGGCCCTGCAGATTAGCCCTCTCTGTCACCTCCCAGGCCTTGTTGAAATCGCTAGATTAAGAACTAATCTTTGATCCTTTGTTGGAATACTGCCTGGTTCCAACACAGACTTTATTTCATTTTGTTTTATTTTTTTTTCTTGTGGAGAGCTGTGCAGTTTTATTTGGGGAGTTTTCTACATTACTTTTCACCTTCCGAAATAACATGGAGAAGTCGGGAATTTCAGACGACAGGCAATGGCTGGCACTTTCCTCCTTGGCATGGCTGGAGCCGCTGACCTTTCTCCTTATCCTCTCCTTGGCACCGACTTGTTGATGGTGGGCATTAGGAGTTTGGGCCGCCTCTCTGCACCTTCCCACTTGCCTGACCCCAAGTTACTATAGTTGACATGAAGAACCCCCTCGGCAAACCTAACCCATGCCGGTCTCTGTCACAGGGACAGGGTCTTGACAGCTAGGACTCAGCACCCAGCAGTCTCTTCCTAGAGATTGTTGTGTCCTTTCTTTGGATTCCAAGTTCTGACTCAAGAATTTCTTCCTGGTATGTTTGAGTGGGTGCAGGGCTAAGAGAAAAATTCCACACCACTGTAAAACTCGGTAAAAAAAATCAAAGGAAAGCATGGAATATCTCCCAGCCTGACCACACCTGTCAGAGCTTGATGGAGCCCTGGCTTCGCAGAGTCGGCCCTGGTGTGCTAGGGAGCTCTGGCGAGTGGGACACAGGCCACTCTGCTGGATCCATCTCGGAGGGAAGAGGCCACCGCTCATCTTTTTAGGAAGCCCCTTAGTGAAGCCAGCTGAATAAGACACCTACCGCAGCTTTTCCACAGTTGGGTCCCTCTAGCTGGCCATGGAAGCTGCAGACCAGCCCCGTCCTCTCTCTTGACTCCCTTGCCCCTTCATCCTCATCCCTGGTCCAGATTTGGGCCTCTTGAACTGGCTCTTCCTTCCCACTGTCTCTTTCCCTGTAGGAGTGCCTTATAGTCTAGTATAGTCTGATCCACTTGAAGCCTGCAGGACCCTTCAGCTAACCGTGGATCTCCTCGCTCTTCCTGCCGGCCGCTCTTCAGTACACAGCGTGCACACATCGGACCTTCCACCTTTGCTTAACCTGGTGCCTTAACTTCACAAGTAAAGGGATTCACATTGCATACACGTTATTGGAGTGGAACATCGGTTTCTTCAGTGCCATTGGCTCCTTTACCAGGAAATACAAAAGACAAAATACAATGTTTTGGCCTTGTTTTATGTTTCTTAGCCACTCTCTGTTTGCTTGCTTTCATTAACCAAACTCAGGGGAATGTCATGTCACCAAGGTCAATGAGGGAAGAAACTAGCTACCCAGAACTGAATATGTGAAGTCTACGAACTTAGTCCTTATGAAGTTCAAAAGTGACACCAACACAAAGGTTTTTTACCCTTTACTGTATGAAGATTTTCCCTTTTTTGCCACCTGTGCCCCACCTGAGAAGGGGAAGCCTCTAAGATGCATGTTGATGATGGCGTCCCTGTGTGCAACCTGGGCAACCTGCTGAGCCACCAAAGCAAACTTTGCTGATGGAGTGTTCTGCCCTTGGTCGCCTGTCAGGCTCTCGTTGTAAACAGTTATTCTCTGTTTCTGGGAATGGTAAAAGGAGGAGAATGCCAAGACTGCAGGTGGAGGACGAGAGGGTGGTGATGCAGACAGTTTCCGGACAGCTTGTTCTCGGGCTCCCGCGTCAGATCCGTGTCATTGGCCCTTAATTCTGCTCATGTGGTACGGAATCAATTAGGTGGTACGGAATCAATTAGGACTTTGCATTTGAGCTGTTCCATCCCTCTGTAGTGGTTTGCCATAGCTGATGTGCTGATTCGCGTGTTCTTTGCTGTCTGTATTTTATCGCTTTTTGTTTTGGGTTAATTTATCCACATTTTTGTTTACATTATTATCTTTTAAGATAGTTACTGTAATAATATAAAACGGAGGCTGCGTTCTTGACAGAGCATCTCTTTTTACCCGTTCCAAATTGTATAAAATTCTCTCTCTCTCTCTCTCTCTCAATAAACAACAATAAAAGTACTTTCTGTAATGATAGATTTATTAAAATACTATTGTTTTTTTTTTCAGGAAAGGGGGAGGTGAGTCCATGGCATCAACGTACAAATCAAGATCTGAGGTCTATGGAAAGTAGGCTGTTTACTATGGGGAGAGGGATAAAGCTTTTTTATTTTATCTTATGTGTGTGAGTGTGTTGCTTGTGTGTTTGTGCTCTGCATCCTTGCTTGGTGCCCAAGGAGTTCAAAGGAGGGCATTGTATCCCCTGGAACTGAATTTACAGATGGTTCTGAGCCACCATGTGGTTGCTGGGATTGAACCTTGGTCCTCAGGAAGAAGAACAAGGGGTCTTAACTGATGAATCATCTCTCCAGCCCCTTTCTTTTTTTTTTTTTTTTTTTGGTTTTTCGAGACAGGGTTTCTCTGTGGCTTTGGAGCCTGTCCTGGAACTAGCTCTGTAGACCAGGCTGGTCTCGAACTCACAGAGATCCGCCTGCCTCTGCCTCCCGAGTGCTGGGATTAAAGGCGTGCGCCACCACCGCCCGGCTCTCCAGCCCCTTTCATTGTTTTAAAATCACCCTTACATCTAAATGTATGACTCTATAGTACTCTCACCTTTTCTGTGTTTACAGGAAGTATTGTTCGAATTTGCTTTCTGTTGATATGCTAACCATCATGGCAAAAGTATCGTGGGAAGGAAGGACTTTATAGGCCAATCTAATCTAGATATAATCTAGGCAGTCCCTCAGTTGAAAGTCCTGCCCCAGCTGACTCTTGACTGTGTCAAGTTGACAGTAAAAACTCGACAGGACAGTGGTGTGACGTGGATGTGCACCGTCCTGTTCTGGGTGCTCTCTGCTGAATCAAAGCAGTTCTGAGACAAATGCTGATACGCTGAATGTCCTTCCCCAGAATTCCCTGTGTTTCATACCCTTCCCTGGTCCTCTCCATATACGAAGGGCAAGTGCCAGTCGGTCAGGCTGTGACTAAGAAGCACACTCTAGGAGATGAGGAAATAAAAAGCTGGACATGGAGGCACACGCCTTTAATCCCAGCACTCAGGAGATACAGAAAGGCTGCTCTCTAAATCCAAGGCTGGCCTACATAACCAGTTCAGGTATAGCCAGGGCTACATAGACCCTGTCTCAAAATAAAATAAAATAGCAGGTGTCTTTGCTCTCAAGTAGCCTCTGAGAGATGAGAATTTATTAAAAATAGGCAACTGCCCCTCCACCAAAAAGGCCTGAGGGTGCAACAACTGTGTCCTTGGAGTCTTTCCAAAGCACCACTGAGACTCACTTCCCCAAAGAAGGACGTTGTAAAGAGACTAGCAAAGGTATTTCTGGCTAAACATTTGCCAAGGGTGAACCCTGAGCCTTACTCCCCAGATACACCCAATCTAGGCCCTGCCCTGCCCTGCCCTGCCTGTCCACACAGGAAACAGCCCAGCCCACACTCTTCTCCAGGAGTGACTGGACTTCATCCTCACACCAGACCTGCCACAATCCATAACAGAAGGAAACGAGTTAATGTTTCACTTGGTGAAGCTGACCACGGTTGGAGGACTGTGTCTGAGGTACGGCAGAGTGCTTGGGCACTTTCAGAGGGAAGGTGCCCATGCCACCGGAGCTAGGTGACAACCGACATCTTATCTGTCTCCGCCACACTGAAAAGGCATGACTTGCTTCTCCCTGTGCTGTCTTGTTTTGAGACAAGGTTTATCTGTGTAGCAGTCCTGGCTGTCCTAGAACTCACTCTGTAGACCAGACTGGCCTCGAACTCACAGAGATGCGTCTGCCTCTGCCTCCTGGGTGCTGGGTTAAAGATGCACAGCACCAGGCCCAGCTTTCCTTGTGTTCTTATTCTGTCTTTTGGTGTTGACTCAGAAGACGGCTCCAGTCAGTGACTCCCTCATTAAAACACCAGTGAGAGCAGAAGGCCAGGCCGTGTCACAGACAGTCGAGCCGGAAGCACTCTGGATGGCACTGGGTAGTAAGAGCATTCACAGCTCCGTGAGTGCGAGCGAGGGACGGTGCTCGGTGCTCGGTAGTCCAGGACTCAGCTAGTGTGGACAGAGCCCTGGATTTCAACCCCAATACCACAAAAAGTAAAGAAAGGGCCTCTTTAGTAGGTTTGGTGTATTCTGAAAGTTATGAACCACTAGCCTAGTCAGGTGTAGTAACAGGGGCCTGTAATCCCAACTTCTCAGGAGGCTGAGGCAGGAGGATTCCAAATTCAAGAACTGCTTGAGCTAGAGTACGTTCGGGGCCAGCAGGGACAATTCAAGGAGATTCTGTCTCGGAGTTTTAAGTGAGGTCTGGGGACCTGGCTCAGTGGCAAAGCGTTGCCTGCCCACTGTGTGGAAGGCCTCGGCTGAACCCCAGTACGGAGGGAGGGGTGGCTAGTCTAAATGTGGAAGCTGCCTTGAAATGAATGTTACTACCGTGGTGGCCCACGGTGGGGCTGCCGCGTGCGGGTGAGGGGACAGCCGGGCTCTGCTGCACTTCTTCTCCCAGCAGAAAAGACAGAAGAACTTGGGAACTTGATGCTTACCAGCAGCAGTGATTTTCATAAAAGCTTTAAAATAAATCACCTTTCCACCCCTTTATTTCCTCCCAGGGTGTGGTTAGCTCTGCTTATCTAGTGCCTGTCATCCCCAGAGGTCGTGCACAGCTGTGTCCAGATGTGCTCCGTTGGGGTCTGCTCCTGCTCCAGCCCTGGGCATGAGCAGTGATCAGAGTGGATGCCGGTGTTTAAAATGGGAATTATCAGGTCTTGGGGGGTTGTTTTTGTTTGTTTTGTCTTGTTTTTTCCCAGAATGGTATGGTTCAAGAGATTCGGGAGCTCTTAACCTGAATACAAGTTTCACTTGATTCTGAGGGAGAACCAGGCTTTCAAAGAAAGAAAAACAAGTCATTCCAGTCCAGACCCTGTTGGATTTCCAAATGCCAAGTACAGATGAATAGAAACAGAAAGGAGTTGTAATATCTTTCCCCTTCGGGAAGTCAGTCATTTGTCTAATGCCAGCATTGATGGAAAACCCAGTCTTCTACTGACGGAGGCGTTCAGAGTCTCCTACCCAAGACATGATCTTGACGCTCTCAGGGAAACCAACGACAAACCCCAGCTTGCTTCCAACTCACTGAGAAGCAAGTGTCAAGGGCAGAAACAACTCGAAATGAATGGGGGTCTACCAAGTCCTTTCCTGTGGCCTCCCGAAGGAGTGTCATTAGAAACTGTACTCTCAATCATGAAAAGGTTCATCTCCTTTCACCATTGTATTAAATTCTGGCAAGGACAGAGGATCCCTTCCATGACAACCAGGGTATCTAGTACCTGATACCCAGGAAGCATGAGGCAAGCCACGCCCTCATTTGCTTCTGTTCCCTCCTAGCCTGACCAGTTAGGAAAGCAATCTGTTCTCGTAGATGGGCATATAGAAGTTCTGATTTGTGTGCACTGACAAACCATCAGATTTACCTGGGCAGTAGAGAAATTCATTACTCCCCACCTTCATTCTGCAGCTCTTCGTTAAGAGCTATGGGCTTTCAACAAATCAGCCAGAGGTCATGAGTTCACACTCCATTTCAGAGCCTGCCCTGCAACCCCAGGCAGCTGTTATGTTGGCCCAGGGAAAATTCCTCCGGCCTTTGTCCGGACTCCCCTGATATGGTCTGTTGTTCAGTGGCTGAAGAGCTATTAGCACCGTAATTTTTCCAAATGAACATTGAGCTAAATTATCTCTAAGGTATAAAGGAACATCTCTCGGTGTGTTATGGAAAATTGCCTCCCGAATTACAAGACTATACAAAGCACATATTAATTCTGGGTCCAAGGACATCCAAATTGCCTTAGATTTGTGCTGCATTGTGGAAACACTCCCTTAATAATGTCAGGCTGGGAGGGTATCACAAGGTACATGCTGTTATGAAAATAAACCAGAATCTCTCTCCATTAGGATCACTCTGCACACACCCAGGCCTGGCTAAAGGCATTGTGCTCTGAAATTCAAGTCTTTTGAAGAGGAAATCAATTCTAATTGCAGAGGCAGAGAGTAAATTTGAATTCTAAACTGGGTCGACCTCCCCAAATGGCTTTTCTCTCTGCCGCCCACGAGTGAAGGAGGCACCTAGGAAGCAGCTGGTCGTAGTCGCGATGGCCAGAGAGGGTGCCTGTCTGGAGACGGCTCCGGTAACTCTTGTGCTGGCGCAGTCATGACCACAGCAGAAGAGGAAAGAAGGCAGTGCCCAGTGCCAGTGTGTGCAGTGAGCGGCAGCTGGAGACAGGCAGGGAGCCCCGGGAAGGAGCCCTTCCTAAGTCACCCTCACGGACGGTCACATACCAGTCACTAAGGGGGTGTTCAGTGGATCATTTTAAGGAAATCTCCCAGTGTTGGGGATCAATCCCAGGTACCCCCTCATACCAGAATTCTACAGCTGAACTAACTCCAGCTCTTCCCTCCCCTTAAGAAAAAAATCAAATATTCCAGAGAAAATCCTAGACATGACATTTTATCCACCTTGCCTCAATACACATCAAAGAAAGATATTATTGTCATATGGTCAGCTTCGATGTTCTCCCGCACCTGGCAAAATTAACATTACTCCCCGGTTTACCATGGAATACGGTTCGAATCGAATTTAACTAAATGTCTCAAAAACACAGGTTTTGGATTTGTTCAAATAGCGAGTCCTTTAAACAAGAAGAATTCGGGAGCCAGAGAGCTGATGTGATGGGAAGAAGGTTCCTGTGCAGCCGTGAGAACCTGAGTTCCGATCCCCAGCACCCAGGTAAAACTCCAGGCATGGCCAGATGCTACTGTAACCCAGTGCTAGCAGGATTCAGAGATGAGACTCAGCAAGGCTGGCCAGCCACCATGCCAGCAAGGAAAGCTCTGGGTTCAGTGAGAGACCCTGCCTCGAGCGGATAACGTAGAAAGGCATAGAGAAAAACAGCCAATCTCCTCCTCTGGCCTTCGTGAACATGGGTACCCACACTGTGCATACACATGCACATGCGTGCACATACCACATATATACACATAAAATGAAAAGAAGGGAGAGGAGGCATTTCTGCTCCTCTAGAACGGAAGATCCCAGCCCCATGCCCACTCACTCCCTGCCCCTTCCAGATAATCCTGATAGTCAGGGTTGTAACACCCGATTCTGTGTTACCCCATCAGTACAGTTTGCACGCCACTGTACCATACGAGAATCAGGCAAGGGCCTGGAGATTGAAAGAACACACCAAGAGACCTGGGTCATTCGAAAGGAGATCGGCTGAATGCTATTTATTCAACTTTGGGGAAAACCTTATAAACCTCGCTGCTGCACAAGGATTTCCGCTCAGGCAGGTGGGAAATTACCATACCAACAATGGAGTCAATGCCCTACAGCTACCAGGCCAGGCAGAGGGAGCACAGGAACAAACAGATGTTTTAGCTGGCTGACCAGAAACTGTCCTCAAGATGAACCCCAAGAACAAGGGTAGACCCGGGGCCCTACACAGGATTCCCTCGCTTCAGGAAACGACCTCAACCCCTCCGTTGGCCTGCAGGAATTCGAATCTTTGGGAGAGTAAGGCAGCCAGAGCAGGTGAGCCTCTGAAGAGGGCTCGTCAGAACACTGGTTTATCTTTACGCCTTTGATTCTGTCGGCCATGCTGTAAATGGTTTCTCCCTTCATCGAGAGCTCATTTCTGGCCTACTGCCTCCCCCGGGCTCTTCTTTCTTTTTCCCTCGTTTTTGCTGTGTGCATTTGTGGTCTCACTGGGCCCATACACCCAACAGCTACTGCAGCGTGAGCCTTGCCAGGGCACCATTCCCACTGGGTTCTCAGAAGGCTCTACCGGGCCAGGAAGAAACTCCCCTTCCCTGAGAAGCCACCTCTCAGCAGCCTGCAGAACTGATGCCGTGGTAAAATTACTGGACTCACTGACACAGTCTGCCCAGGAGTTGGGGTGGGGTCCTACAGAACTGAGCTGGGAGAACCGGGGCTCCAGAGTCCCTGTCTGTTGCCTGTTATCATCTTGACGGCTCTGGAGCCCCTGTAGGCAGATTTCTTCACCCCAATATGTCACCATGCTGTTTCCAACCGAGACACAGAATACAAATGTACTTACTGCCCACCTACTGGGCGAGGATTTCAGCTTAAAATACCGGAAAAAAAAGTTTTTAAGGCAGATTCTCATATAACCCAAGTCCTTTGTATCCAGGGATGATCACCTTTAAGCTTCTGATCCTGCTCTCGCCTCCCGCGTTTGGGAGTGCAAGCACGAGCCATCATGCCCCGTTTATTCCGTGCTGGAAACTGAACCCAGGACTCTGCAGCACTCTAGCAACTAAGGTGCATTCCAGCCCCTCGGTGTTAGAAACGATCAAATAAGATTGCAAGACGTTATCCCTCGGTAGCAGAAGCTGAAATGTTTGCCAGACTATGACATTATTGCCCTGTGGTTAGACACATAACTGATTTTTTTCATCAGATATAAATGGAGGTTTGATTAAGATTATTCTTTACAATAGACAGGAGCCTATGATTATCTATCATTATGGTCAAAATGTTTTAACTTTAATTTGCTTTTAATAAAACTCCTTATCTCAGGTCACAAGAAGACAGAGGTAATAGAGGGTTGGAATTCCCTGCTGGGCTGTGAAGGCTGCGCAGTGGGCATTCTCAGAGGTCCCCAGATCAGGAGCGTGAGTCAGCTGGGAATGTGTTTGAAACCGCATTCTCAGGCAGACTATGGACTCACTCTTCGAGATCCTTCGGGTGTGAGTCCCTGAAACTGCAGCGATCTGTGTGCTAATGCCCACCCTCCCAACAATCACCCTGATTGTGATACAATTTTATTGTCACTTTGATTGGATTGATTGGGAAATGTCTACAAGATTAGTAAAGGCACTTTTTTGTTTTCTTTTTTCAAGACAGGGTTTCTCTGTAGCTTTGGAGCCTGTCCTGGAACTAGCTCTTGTAGACCAGGCTGGCCTCAAACTCACAGAGATCCGCCTGCCTCTGCCTCCCAAGTGCTAGGATTAAAGGGATGCACCACCACCACCTGGCTGTAAAAGGCACTTCTGAATATGTCTGTGACTGGGTTTCCAGAGACTACTGGCCAAAGGAGGCTCACTGTGGCCTCATCCCATAGGCTGAGGGCTTAGATGAAGCTAAAGTGGAGTCCGGAGGAAGCCTGTTAGCAAGGACATTCCTTCCCACTTGCTGAACCAAGTGCCATGACCCCGGCCTCAATTCCCATGGAGCTTCCTGCATGCCTGCTGAAGATGCAGTGATGTACGAGACACAGCCCAGCCATCAGAGCACAGAACAGACCAGAGAGAGCCAGCCTGTGCACAAGCCGGAAGAACAGCATCCTTAGGGAGTGAAAGGGGTGAGCTCAGAGTCCAGTGTTATCCTGGCTTCTGTGCTTTCATACTAGGTGACTTGGCAAGTTCTTTAACCTCAGGAAACTTCATCTTCCCCGGGTACCTTTTTCTGTAGGGTTAGCGGGAGTTGTGGCACTGTCCTTAGCAGGATGTGAGATGAGGACACACCTGAGGTACACTTAGCCCTGGTGACACACAGGAAAGGAATGGCGGCTGTCAGGGGCTGCTGTCTGCAGGCTGCAAAGAGAAAGCAAGAAAGAGTGTGTTTCCATCTTCTGAGGAGTTAAGGGGGGGCGCAGGCACAATGGGAGCTGGCATGGGAAGACAACTCACTGTGTGGAAAGTAAGGTGGTGGGGGAGACTAGAGCTAGGTGGCTCTTGCAGGCTTCAGGGGTCCTTCTTGAGTTCCCCCAAATTCACTGGGCTGTTATGTGTACATTCACCAATTTCTCTTTTGTTGTTCTTTTGTTTTTTTTAACACAGGGTCTCTCTGTGTAGCCTTGGCTCTCTGGAAACTCACTCTAGACCAGGCTATCCTTGAACTCAGAAGTCCATCTGCCTCTGCGTCCAGAGCACTGGGATTGAAGGATGTTGTCTGTTACTGAAAAGGGGGGGTAAGGACGCGAGACAACCAATCCCAAACTAACTCCAAAAGATTCCAGTTATAATTTTTTTATTATAAGGGGCAAATTCATGGAACAGGAAAGACAAGTTCAACCTTAGGTGTGTAATGCAGGAACAAGAGAGAGAGAGAGAGAGAGAGAGAGAGAGAGAGAGAGAGAGAGAGAACGAGAATGAGCCCTGGGCAGTCTGGCAGTTTCTATGGGTACCCAAAAGGTCACACCCTATCCTGGTCCAGCCTTTTAAAGGTCATTGGCTGAGGGAGGTTCCCCATCAGTCGGCCTAGGTAATTTCTTTTTAAGAATATTCTAGATGCCAGTAGCACCTTCCATACTGCTGGGCTTCCTGGAATGGGATACACTCTGAGGAAGACGCTCTCATCCTCTGGAAGGGGATCCCTTTGGCGGTTGAATGACCTTTTTTTCATAGGGGTCACCTAAGGTCTTCGGAAAACAGATTTTTACATTGCATTTTGTAACAGTAGCAAAATTACAGTTGTGAAGTAGCAACACAAACAATTTTATAGTTGAGGATCGCCACAATATGAACTGTATTAAAGGGTCGCAATATTAGGAAGGTTGAGAACCACTGCTCTAAGAAGATGGCTAAACTCCTCCCGCCTCTGGCTGCCTGCCCCCTTCTGAGTGTGGTTGAAATGGGGACCTCACTGCTTCTGGGCTGGCAAGAAACCCGAGAGCTTGGACAATCTCAAACTATTCAGGTTCCCTTCTCCCAGAGTTGACGGGGGTAGTCTCCCATGTTTCTCCCTTTTGCCTCCCCACCTCATCACCCAGTACCCAAAGTTCTCCAACTGTTTAGTAATTCCATTCTCCGTGGTTTTTGATTATTAATTTAGAAATCCCAGCGCAAATCAGAGCACCCTGCACCTCTGCTCCATCATTCCCATCTCTGAGATCCCTCCTCCTCCTCCCCTTTCATTTCTATGGCTCCCTGATTGGAAAAGAGCAGGGGGCCCCCTTCTTCCTTCCCAACTCCACAATTGTCACCGCCAATTAGTGCATTGTTAGGGCACACAATGGCGTTACTGTAGCCAGTGGAATGGGGCGCCTTTGTGCTTCTCCAACGGGCCATGGGGGCAGTCAAGTTTCATTTAGAGACTTAAAACACAACCCCTGAAGAAAAAGAAATGCTACCAGAAAAGTATAAAAAAAGGAGGGGGCACAAAAATAAACCAAAAATAAAACAAAACAAAAAAAAAAAGTCGAAGAAGAGAAAGGCAAGGATGAGGGAAGTGATGGTGAGCCAGTGCTGAAAGGGGGGAGAGGAGAAGAAAAACAGTCCCCGTTCAGAAATGAGGCTGAACTCCTGAGAAGTCCCAAGAGGCTGCTACATGCCGGAGCTCCCTGAGAACACAAAAGCGGCTCAGGCTTAACAGTAATTAGTGGTGTGATTGTGCTTGGAACACTGCTGTCTTTGGAAGGGTTTTCCAATTCCCTCCTACCCCCCTCTACCCTGTCCTTACCAATAAAGGGGATGGGAGCCGAGCAGGGAAGCTGGGTAGGGAAAAGGCCTGCGAGCTGTGCTGCCCCGGCAGTCTGGGTGAGAGTAAGCTGGTCTTCCTCTTTGGCAGGTAAATTGGATTTTATTCTCTAAAGCTTGAAAATAATTACAGGGGTTTTCTTTAATAATATGCCATATGGAGGCATTTCCTAGTTAGTTTCACTTCAAGTACCTTTTGAGCGGCCTGGTCCTTTTTGCAGCCCAGAAGATGCTCCTGCAGCCCAGAGCCCACAGGTCCTGGGGCTTTTTCTGTCAGCCAAGCCTCTGAGTCAGGATAGCTTTTTTTGTCAGAAGACATCTACTCCTAAAGAAGTGAGCGCAAGGCTCAGTCTGAACAGGCAGTCCCTTGAGGCAGAGCTCTAAATGCCTCTTGTGCCCTAGCATCCTTCCCCTTCCTCTTAACCCACCTCTGAAACAACTGATCGTGCCTGCTGCTTCTTAGAACTCATGGTACAAGGGATAACCAGGAAGGGACTCCCCGATATGAAGCTGGCCACACCTGATCATTCTAGAGTCTTCTACCTGCCTGTCCAACCCCCTAATTTCTATAAGGCCTCCCCAGTCAGAATTACCAAACAAGGGTAATTATGGCCAGAGACAGAGAGGTGGGCTATTTTGAGCAATGTGATTGTTTTGTTTTTGTTTCCATTTTGAAATAGCCAATTTCTAACTTGTGACTTACATCACTCTTTTGTGTCTTCATTTCCTTTCAAGCACACTTCTGTTGCTGTTGGTAACAAGGTCTGCGTATCCCAGGCTGGCCTCGAACTCACTATGTAGCCGAGCATATGAAGGCTATGAAGGTCGGATTCTCCTGCCTCCATCTTCCGAGTCATGGGATTGCAGTCTGTGCCAACACCCTGGCTTTCTTCAAGTACATTAAGTATTCTTCCTTGCCCGTTCCCTCTGCTGAGATCAAGCCAGGTTCATTAGGAAAACAAACAAACAAGCAAGAGACTCATGTGCTCCACACCAGCCTTGAAAACCAACTGCATCTTAGAAACAGGACTGTAGAAACATACTCGCTGATACTGCGCGCCTCTGTTTTATTTCTCCATCCACTAATGTCGAAGAGACGCAGCCAAGGGTGGTTCCCTGGCATTCACTGGAGCTGGGCAAAATGAAGGGACCATCTCTGAGTGTGGAGATCAGAATTCTGGTCCACCTGCAGGAGTAATAGAGGTGGCATGTCTGTGCTCACATGTGAGGCTCAATTTCAGACATCGCCAAGAATCTTGGAGGATGGTGCTGGGAAGAGTTCCTCATCCTGCTACCAGAGGTGCCTCTGAAGTTGTCCTCAGGGATGGTGGCTTGTTTATACCCTCCTGCCTGTGTAGAAGCAGCCCGGGTCCTTCCCCAATGCCTTTCTCCTCATTCATTATGACCTCCATGGCCACCACCAGTCTCAAAGGGGCGTGTCCCTAGTCAGGAATTGACTGTGAACTCTCTGATAATGCCCCTGAAATGGCACCTATACACACATCAGGGAGTGCGAACTGAAGGGGGTCGTGACGTAAGGATTCCATAGCCTCCCTCACATGTGGTGTTTCCAGACTCCACCGAAAAGGCTTTACCAAGTTGTTCTAGATGGCGCACGAAGACTCCACTCCACTTCCCTTCAACCTCAGTCTTTGATTGAGTGCAGTAACAAGACTCCAAAGACTCCAGGACAGCAGCTTTCAAGCTTCCTGTGCTGCGGCCTCACTTTAATACAGTTCCTCATGTTCTGGTGACCCCCAACCATAAAATTATTTTGTTACTACTTCATCACTGTAATTTTGCTAATGTTATAAATTGTAATGTAAATATGTGATATGTAGGATATATGATTTGCATCCCCCAAGGGGTCACGACCCACAGGTAGAAAACCACTGCTCTAGAACCTACAGAGCAAGAAATATAAGAGTTTGCAGTGAAAAAGTCTTGCTAGGGATACGCCAGCTGGGTGTGCCCACCATTCACAGTGCTTCAGTGCCCGTTACTGCCGTTCTCCTCCCCCTTCCCAGACCCTGTGTGAGTGTGTGTGTGTCCGTGTATGTGTGTGTGTCTGTGTGTGTCTGTGTCTGTGTATCTGTGTGTGCATGTGTGTGTCTCTATGTGTGTACCTGTGTGTGTCTCTGTGTGTGTATGTGTGTGCCTGTATGTGGGTGTGTCTGTGTGTGTATGTCTGTATGTGTGTGTCTCTCTGTGTGTATCTGTGTCTGTGTGTGCGTGTGTGTATGTGTGTCTATCTGTATGTGTATGTGTGTGTCTGTGGAGTGTCAGTGTGTGTGTGTGTTTGTGTATGGGGGTGAGAGGTTGACAACGGTTGTATTCAATCACTTTTTACCTTATTGTTTTAACTTGTTAATTTTTTTAAACTAAAATATAATTACCTTTATTTTCCCTTTCCTCCCTTACCCTTTGCACTCCACTTTCTTTTACAGTTTATGATCTTTACTTATTTAGTGTTGTTATATTTGTACATGTGTATGTGTATTCCTGCATACATATATACAGCCCGTTCCACTGATGTGTGTGCACTGCACATCCAGCCTGTCTTTCACTGCGGATGCCCGGGTTGAACTCATGTTCTTATGCTTACACAGCAAGCCCTTCACAGTCTGACCCATCTGCCTACCTTCCTTTAGTACCACCATCCGCATGGTCTTGAAATACGCAAGTCCCGTCTTCCATCTCCAGTTTGGTCGCCTTCAGGACACATTCAAACCCAAAGCATGATTGGAAGTCCCGGATGGCATGGTCTAATTTCTCCTTAACTGCATTTCCTGCCAACAGGATGGCCTGCTCCATGGGCCTAAAACCCATGTACTTTCTGGATTTAATGCCTGCCTGCTGTCATCTTGAAAGTTTAAGTACTTTTTAAAATAAGTCCCTACATTTCATTTCATGGGGATCCGTTTGAATGTGTCTTCTGAAATCCATGCATTGAAAACAAGCCCCAATGCAGCAATGTTACACAGTGCATTGTTCACAGACGTTGTTCACAGACGATTAAGCCACAAGGACTCTGCCTGCATGGGGAGATCCACACTGACCATGAAAGATCCTGAGACTTGGAAGGAAAACCCTCTCATACTCCAATGCGTGCATGCTGTCTTCCCGTTCTGTCGTCTGGAGGGAGGTCTTCGCCAGAAAGTCTTTCATAATGGACTTTCTGGAAACTCATCAATGAGAGATAAATCGTTTTTCTTTGTAAATTAGTCTGTGGTTCTGTGATAGCAACATGGACTAAGACATCTCCCAAAGGGAGTGTCTTGTCCTGTCTTTCTTCCTTCTCCCACGTTATACTCCAACACCCTGCAAGTCTCCAAAGCCTTTCTTAGTGTCTGCTATTTAAACATACACCTATCACCTTGGCTGCTGAATATCAGTGTCTCTTTAAGAATATATATATTCTTCTTTTTGTTCATATCTTTGTTAGGGTTTTACTGCTATGAAGAGACACCATGACCATGGCATCTCTTTTAAATTTTTTATTTTTTTATTTATTTTATGTATATGAGTGACCTGTCTTCATGCACACCAAAAGAGAGAATCAGATCCTGTTACAGATGGTTGTGAGCCATCACGTGGTTGCTGGCAATTGAACTCAGGGCTTCTGAAAAAGCAGCCAATATTAACTGCTGAGCCATGTCTTCAATCACTGACCAGAGCAACTCTTATAAAGAAAACACTTAATTGGGGTGACTTGCTTGTGGTTTCCGAGGTTCAGTCCATTGTCATCATGACAGGGAGCATGGAGGTTTGCAGGCAGATGTGGTGCTGGACCTGGGAGTCCTATATCTTGCAGGCAACAGGAAGTCAAACTGATGGTCACACTGAGGGAAGCTTAAGCAAAAGAGACCTTAAAGCCCGCCCCCATAGTGACACACTTCCTCCGAAAAGGCTATACCCCATAATGGTGTCACTCTGTTTGGGGGCCATTGTCTTTCAAACCACAACAGTTTATTTCTCCAAATAATTTATTGCTCCTTATCAAAGGTCTGCCTTTTAAATTACTTAAGCTTATTATTTATTTCCTGCCTCAGCTTAGAGGTCATGCACAACATGGGGGTAGAAATTGTGTCTTGCGCTGGACTGAGGTTTCTCAGGCTTTTTGTGGTGACATTAAGCCAAGTGGTATGTTTAAGAAAGATTTGCTGAAAGTGCCATCCACTCTCACTCCAGTGGCTGCAGTGTTGATGTGACTATATTCCTACTCTAGTCTACTCAGGGTCCTGGGAGCCACGGTGCCACTCACCACAGTCTAGGACCAGTTGAGTAGCTACTGCTAAGAAGTCTGTCCTATGATGTTTTCTAATTGAACGTTTTGGAAACAGGGAAATGTCTTACATGTCCTAGCACGGTCACTAGGCCCGTGTGCTGCCGAACACTTCAAGTGCGGCCAATGCAACCGATGAACTGAATGTTTATTTGGATTTCATTCTGATTATAGCACACAACTGAATGCTGGAGACGCGCTCTGAGACAGGCTAGCTAGGCAGTTTCATCCCGAGTGAAATCATGCCACAAACTTACGCAAGCTGAGACAACCATGATGTCATTAAGCGATACCATCTCATACATGCAGACACTGTTGATTCAAGCATCATGACGTGGCACATGATTCTAAATGGAAACATCCTAGTGTGATTAGCAGCCGCCACACTGGCCAATGCGGTCTTCTATGATGTTGATCTTCACCGCAGGGCAAGGAGCAAGTCAATTCATGGACCTTGCCGCCTGCAAAAGACTTCTTTGCAGAGAGGGGCAGGAGGCGGGCAAGGGAGAGAGAAAGTCATATAATTCTATTTTAATTAAAACTGTTTTAAAAATAAATCTTTAAAAACATCATCATCATCATCAACAACAACAACAAATACCATAATTTTTTTTTTAAAAAAAGGAAAGTTTTTGCAAACCAGAAGCCTTCTAGCAGCTTCCAAGGAGATGTCAGTGAAAAAGAAAACCATTTCAGTCAACCATGATGATGGCCAGTTGTTAGTACCCCTGCCCTTAAAGAGAACTGAGAAACCCTAAAGCCATCTATACCCTTGTTGGAATCAAATCTTTTTGTAATGGTTACTGTTTGGTTTGCACGTGAAATGTCTCCATTGGAACACTTGGTCCCCAGCTAACGGGTCCCCAGCTGTTTGGGGATGTTGTGAAGACATTGGAAGTGGGGACCTTGCAGGAGGAAGTGGGTTATAGTTATAGCTCAGCCCTGGTTCCAGCCTGAGATTCCTCTGCTTCCTGGTCCTTCAAGATGTGAGGAAGCTGCCTCATGGCCCCGCTGTCACAGGCAGGAGTTACCACGACCTCTGCACATGCCTGCATGCCTTTTCTGTGATTCAACTGCAAGCCAACAGTAAGTCCTCCCTTAAGTCACTCCTGCCAGGTTCTTTGTCACACGGAGGGAGGGTAGGAAGGGCAATAAGACCAGTAATCTAGTTTCCTCCCCTCCGACATCTTCAAAGGCTTCCTGCTGGAGTTAATTATGGCCCATCATAGTGCCTTGTGCACCAGGATCATTGTTCTGGACACAGCACAAGTGGGACTCAGCAAATTCTGGGTAGTTAAAAAAGTAAAACACAGCCAGGAGGCGGTGGTGCACACCTTTAGTTCCAGCACTCAGGAGGCAGAGGCGAGTGGATCTCTGAGTTCAAGGCCAGCCTGGTCTACAGAGCTAGTCCCAGGACAGCCAGGGTTACACAGAGAAACCCTGTCTCAAAACAACCAAAAACCAAAACAAAACAAAAGAAAACAAAACACATAGTAAAACAGAAAATGAGAGAAGACTCTACTTTCAGTGTGTGCCGTTTCTTTCTTCATCTTTAACTGATATCCATAGGGGTAAATCATTTGAGGACAATTTCAGAGTTGAGGGCAGGTGGCCCAGCCGATATCACAGCAAACAGAGAACTGCACATGCCAGGCGCAGAACGGGGAGCCTTCCTTGGTATCCTTGCCTTTAAAATGAACCACAGAGAGGCAGAAAGGAGAAAGTATCTGTAAGATTTTAACTGTACGCCCATCTGCTGTCTTAAATTGTGACCCACAGAAAGATGGATTTGTGTCAGGTCTTCAAGACATGGCTCCTCCTAGCTTTCAGCTGCCGTCCTGGAGCTGAAGTCAGCTCATTGGCCTTGCCAGAAAAACCAGAAGCATGGCAGAAGTAACATTGAGTGGTGAGGATTCAAGCAACCTGCACATTTGGGAGTGCCTTAGAGACCTAGTAAACACATCTCATCGGGTGAACAGCAAACAGAAAGCCCCATCCCTTGGCCAGGCCAAGAAAGCAGAGGCCAGCACCAAATCACTAACTACCAACAACCATTTTCAGAATTCCAGGGAGAAGCAGTCAGAAGGATGAGCGCTCTTCTGATAGGCCTGGCTGGACCACCAAATGAAGTCCCACGGCCAGAAGAAATAAAAGCCCGGCAGCCTGCTCCACCCCTGCACTTTACACAAAAGGAACTTACGTTGCTTGCTCAAGTCAAGACCCTTTTTTTGAGGTGGATGAGGGATTGTTTTTTTCTAATGGTTTGTAAACAGGCTACCAGCTGCTAACCCTTCCAGCTTCTGGGGACTTGGGACAAGTGAGCCAAGTTCGCTAACTGGAGGCACCAGGAACTCAGAGGTTTGAGACTTCCTGGAAGAACGGAGTTTAGTGACATCCTGGCTGGGTTGATGCTTAACCTAGGCTGAACACTAAGCATCTACTTTCCAAAGGAGTCCATGGCTTACTCCTCATGGCCTCAGATTCCTAGCAGGCCCAAAGAATTCATAATTACACCAGCCATTATCTGCAAACTCAACGGTAGGTAAGACTGAGCAGTGTGAAGTCCTTCCTGTCCGTCACCCTGCCTTGTAAAGCCTCCGTGCAGTGTGGGCATGAGCGAGTGATGTCTCTGCCTCATTTTCCTCATCTATACCGTGCACACAACAGGTTTTCACCTTGCAGACGTCTGGCGCCAGTGTGAGACGGCGTCCGCACGGCACCGTAAGCAGCTGCTGTCATTATCCTAAGCACACTCTAATTCAGGTGTTAGAGTTCATAAAGTGAGTCTATTTGCGGGGATTATGCTTGAGAGTACCTTTTCCTTTCTATCTATTTTCTCATCCTGGAGACATCAAAAGCATGAGAAATGACAGTTTGTATGCAGTTTCAGAAGGGGCGCTCATTCGTAAGGTACCAGTGAATCTCATCCACCCGGGATCGACACTACCTCCACACCCATCAGGTAGGCTCGGCCCAGGGGATGTGACAGTCCCAGACAAAGTCCAAAGAAGGCAGCTGGCGACTGAACCATGTCCTGAGATACTAGGCAAAGAGAGAGTCGGGGATGCCCAGCCAGGTAGAGTGGAGACAGTGGCCTTAAAAGTAAGCCACTTAGAAAACTATGGTGTCACTTCAAGATGCTTTTACACGTTAGTGATAGCCACAGAATCTGAATGTTCTAACACATAAAAGTGACCAATACTTAACGAAAGATCAGGAAGTTGCAGAAACTTTCAAGTGGCAGTTTTAACACGCTTGCTAGCTCTAGCAGTAGATGCTGTCACAGAGCGAGTCGCCCAGTAGCGCGACGGTCCGGGGTGCTCTGATGTGGAAGGATGCATTTGCATTGACCCCCCCCCAGAGGTTGTTGCATGAAATAACTCAGTTAACTGAACTATATCTGTAACTCTCATTACCTTTTCATTTGGGGACAGGATGTTACTGAGTGGCTTCGAACTCACTATCTAGCCCATGATGGCTTGAACCAACTCTTCTGCCTCTGACTCCCAAGTGGCTCTCAGGACTGGTTATTTCTATATAGTTTTCCTATTGTGTGTGCCTCTGTTTCCCTCTTTTACATTTATGATTAGTTACATTGCTGACACGTCAGATGTGCACCGTTTGATCAGTTCCAATAAAAGTGTATGTTCATGTGACCCACACTTCTATCAAGACAGGAAACATTTTCAAAATGTAGAGTTTCAGAAGTACCCTCCTGTCTCCTTCCGGTCGGCCTTCTCCTGGTTCTATGTCTGCAGCTTACACTACAGATATGTTTGTCTGTGGATCCATTCACTTAGCCTGAGTGGGATTTGTCCATATTGTCACCTGTATCAGTGAGTAAGATTCCATTACATGAGCCAGCCTTTAATTTAAGCAGTCAGGAGGCAGAGGCAGGGGGATCTCTGAGAGTCCAAGGCAAGCCTGGTCTACAGAATGAATTCCAGGATAGCCAGGACTGTTACACAGGGAAACCCTGTCTCAGAAGAAAAAAATCCATTATGTGGATTCGCCAGTTGTATGATGTACATCAGATTGTTTTCAGGC